TTCACCTTCAACATAGTCTACGTAGCATTGAGTGAGTCTGGCTGCAGCGAGGTGGATGGCTGGGCTGGCTAAGGGAGGTGGGGGATACACATGGTGTTGCAAACCCGGAAGTGACGGAGTGGGAAAGGGAACTGGACTCAGTGTGATGTTCCGGAGAAAAAAATATATCTCTCTTTGTATTGCCAGAATCTCTGAAGATTGGGTTTCTGAACACATTGAAGGAAACCCCAGGGACATATCCTTCCACAGTGCAAAGGGGTTGGCTTCTCCAAAGCTGGGGTTTATGGAGGGACTGGAGTCTTGATGCCCAGGCTTCTCTAAGGAGTCTTTCAGGGCATTTTACCCCATGATTACAAGGCAAGGAGCAATGTTTTGTGATTTCTGAAGAGGGTTAAACAGAAAACTGTGTCTAGGAGAAGAGGAGAAGTTAGGGTAGTATGCCAGGGGTAGTGACATAGCTGGGCTACGACTTTTCCAAGGCTGTTCCCAGTCCTTAACTGTTCTCACTGTACTGGAGGTACTCATCTGTTTCTTCACCCTGTGGTCAGTGGTGGGATTAACCGGGTTCCACACCTTCCTGGTGGCACTGAATCAGACAACCAACGAAGATGTAAGTAAAGTCTTTCTGTTTATCATCTTGGCTGTGTCCACATTGTTGACATGCTCTGGGGCTGAGGCAGGGCTCTGTGGGCTGGGGGCAGTTATCGGTGGGGCAGACCTGAGCTTGTGCCCTGGCTGTTGCAGATTAAGGGGTCCTGGACTGGGAAGAACCGCGTGCAGAATCCCTACAGCCATGGCAACATAGTGAAGAACTGCTGTGAGGTGCTCTGTGGGCCTCTGCCCCCTAGGTAAGCTCTTGAGGGGCAGCCCTGCCATTCTTGCCCCTAGAGCCCAGTGTGGGACCCTGAGGAGCTCTCCTTGGGTGCAAGACCTGGCTGCTCTTCTGCCAGCACTGTGTGTGTTGAGGGCTTCTGGAGGTCACCTGGGACATGGCTGGATGCTGTGGGGAGGAAAGTCTTGTGTTGCCTTCCTTGCATATCTTCAGTTATTTGGGTTTGTGATATGCTCCCTATCACTCTGTGCTCGGGAAGCGGGTGGAGGAGTGGCTCCCCTTCCCTGGGGTGGTGTATGGAAAGGAGGCTCTTCCCAGGGTGCTTGTTTTGGTGGGCCCCCACCCTCTGAACTCTGCTACTCTCCAAGGGGCTTGGTTTTCACAGGAGGAACATAGATGCTGTAAACTAGGTTTGGGCTGTGCACAACCTATTTTGGAGATGAACCCCTTCCACTAATGTTTGTCTTCCACCAGCACTTCTCCTGCCAGGAAAAGTCAGCTTTGGGGGAGGCGTACGTCTCTGACGGTGTGATTCTATTCTTGCAGTGTCTTGGACAGACGGGGCATCTTGCAGCAAGAGGAGAGCACAGCTCAGGAGGAGTCATGCCCACGGGGTTCCAGCACTCAAGAGCCCTCCGCTGCTCAGGGTCCTGGTGGGCAGGCAGAGGAGAGCAGCACTCAGCAGAAAGATGGCAGCGTTCCTCACCTGAGTGCCGTGAGTGATTCCCTCTATGCGGGGGGCGAGTGGGATGCGCCTGCCTGGAGCTCGTGGCGCTTTGGGCCAGCAGAGAGAAAGCTGATAGTGTGACTTATCAGGAACAAAGCAACACTTGGGGCCTTGCTGAGAGGCCGGCGATGAAAAGTCTGTTTTCAGAACAGAAAACAGTCTCTCTCTGGAGCTGGCTGGGAGGGTGCTGGGCTCCTCAGACTCCTAGGTAAACTTCAGAGGAAATCACAGCTGGCTGCTGTTTTGTAGATATCAATTCTGCCTTGAGAGCACCCAGGAGCTGGCACTTACAGAATCTAGGAGGGGTGGGAGATGGTAGGCATCATGTTTTGGCACTGAATGCAATATGAAGGGTTGTCCCTGGGAAGGGCCTTCGTACGTGTGGGATCTCTGTCCTTGGATAAAGCCATTGCCCCACTGGATATGGCCCTGAGCAGCCTGTTCTGTCTTTGGAATTAACCTTGCTTTAAGGATATGGATGGGCAAGAGACTTCCAGAGTGCCCTTCCTGCTTAAATTACTCTGTGAATGTGGTGGGAAATGGCTGGGCCTATTCTTGCCTGGGCATGAGCTGCTCTGGTGGAAACAGTCCAGAATACTTCTGGTGGAGCAGTCCAGTGCTCCAGATCTTCATGAAGCTGCTGTTTTGCCTGTTTGGTGGCCCTTGGTTTCTCCTTTTCCCAGACACAGCTGAGACCTCTGCCTAGTGGAGCTGGAGGCAGGAGCAGGACAGCGGGATCAGGCGTCTGTGTGTTCTGTATTGGGGTGTATTCATGTAAGTCACTGCTGTCTTCTCTCTGCAGGTCCCTGCGCCATCCCTGAGCAATGCTGAGATGCCTGAGGAAAAGCAGCTAACGTCTGGGGAGCTCCCGGTCCCACCCCAGGACACTGGGCAAGCAGAGCACTAGCATCTGCTTGAAAGGGAGAACTTTCTTGTTTTGTCTAATCAAAGCTGGAAGTGATAGAGGAGAGGAGGAGATGGGCTGGATGGCAGGCAAACGATTCCTCATGGCCATTTTGCTTTAGTCATTATTCACCTCGATGCGCAGGCAGTGCAGGCTGGCGCTGGCCTTGCATGGTGTCCAAGGATAATGAGCGTGAGTGGCCCGCCTTGTCACCGAGGGGCACTCGCCGACACTGAGGCCGGTCTGCCTGCAGGCCGAGGCAGGACCTCTTGCTCTGCAGGTTGTCCTGGATGCTAAATACCGGCTCGGTGGCTGGGGCCGTCCCTACGTCTGGCCCCGACTTTCTGATGAGGCGACTTGTGGTCAAGCAGCTCAGAAGCGACGTTAGGGTCGGCCTGCTCCCTACTGCTGAGGAATCCTGGTGGGAAGGGGAAAGCAATTTATGGCAGTAGCGTCCTCTCTCCCCTCCTCCCTCCTTCCTCTAATCTGTGGCATTGTTTTATTGGTTAATGTGGCAGGGGTTGGCAGGAGACATTTTGGTGCCAAAAGGGCCAAAACAACTGGGAAGGTGTTCTGCTGGCAACGATTTTTAAAGTAGCTTCCTTCCCATGCTCCTTCTTTTCGTGTGTCTTAGCCGGCGTGAGAGCAGTGGTGGCAGGGCCCTCAGTCCCGTCCTTCCCCGGGGCTCACACCTAATGTGGGGCTTGGGGGAAGGAGCGGGGCAGCCTGTGTCTTCCTGCCGCTTGTCTCCGCCCTGCGCCAGCCGCAGAGCGGTTGTGCAAGGGGGTTGTATCAAGCTGCAGGGGAGGGTCTGCCTGTGCCACTGCCTCTCGAGGTAGTGCCGGTGCTGCGTTTGCTCCCGGGTGCCTGCGCTGAGCACAGGCATGCCCTCCCCTTGCCTGCCAGGCTGTGGCATGCTGCTCGGCCACCGCTCTGCAGAACCTCAGCTCTGATTGTGTCGTGTCGTCGTGTCCCTGTGTCCCCCCCTGCCTTGCCCTGCATTTCTCAGCCATCCTCGACTGGCTTTCAGAGCCTTGAATCTTCCCGGGGCTTTGCTGGCTGTCCTGGGACTGGCTGTGCAGCGTCGGCCATCTGCGCCTCCTTGGCAGAGGAGGGAGGAGAGGCCAGGGCCTGGCAGCGGTGGGAGGCCTCTGTGCTGTGGCAGGGCTCTTCTGCAGCAACGCTCCCTGTCCTGCACCTGGCAGCAAGGCTGAGAAGAGCCTCATGTCTGTGGGGTCCCCGCAAAGGTTGGCGAGAGAGGGAAGGCGGTTTTGTGCCCTGGCAGCTCTCCATCCCATGCCACAAGTGCTGGCTACTTCTATGCCTCCCTGCAGACATGTGGTGAGTCGATGGCAGGTGGAGGATGTCCTGCCGGGGCAGTCCTGCTTCTTTCTCTGTGATGCTTCTGCCTGGCAGCATGAAGTCACTGCTCCTCCTTCCCTGGCCACGTATGCCATCCTGCTTTAACAGTGGCATGGAACGGGGAGCCTTGTCCCTCTGGAGCTTGATGCGTGCCTCCCAACTTGCTCCTTTTCCCTGGCCGCTTGCAGCATTGACCTGGGCCGTGCCTGGCGGCGGGTGAAGTGGTATTAACGTGGCAACCAGCACTGCCCCCTCTCCCATAGTGCCAGGGTCACCTCTCACGGGTGAGAGGGCAGAGCTGCCGCCCTGGGCTCTGGCAGTGGGCTCCCAGTTGCCCCTCAGCTGCTCCCTGCTGGCGTTTACCAGGGAAGGAGCCCGGGCTTCCCGGTGCCAGCAGGGCCGGAGCTGCCTGGCTTGCAGTCGCTGCCACCCTGCAGCCAGACCTGGCCCAGCCCCAGGCTGCTGCTCCTGGCCCCACGCACACCCCGCCGGTGGTGGGAGCTGCCCCTTCTCTCCCACCCGCCCCAACACGCTACTGACCAAATCTCAAACTCGTTGTGAAAAAGTGTATTTTTTGGTTTTACTAATCTATTTTCTAACGCGGTGTGTCGAGTGCTGCCTGCTGGGGCCGTCACGGATGCTGCCTGCACCTGTGGTTCCTGTCTGCTCTGTTCAGGTTCTCCGTGAAGGAAGTGGGGGTAGGGTGAGGGTTGGGGTTTCTTTCTTTTTTTTCTTTTTTTTTTTTTTTTTTT